AAATATGAGAGAAATCTAACCTTTCAGTGAGGTAAAATGATTCAAAGAATCAAAATTTAAACAAAATTTAAACATTTTTCTCAAATGTTTCTCAAATGGGCACTGTACTTACATTTAAAGTCTTTAGGAATGCAGGTTTTTTTTAAATAGTCACATATTAAGATTTACATTTGAAGTAAATTATTTTAAGGTAAATTAACAACTGTAAATTCTACATGTTTTTGCTTAAAACTGGGTTGTTCTTTTTTGTCATTATCGTGATTCATGTCCATGACATAGAGAGGTTCAGATTCAATGAGACAGAATAATTAGTGAAAAGCCTAACTGGGCTTGTCTCCTGCAGGGTCAATGGCTCCTATGAGGCTCTGTCTGGGGGCTCCACCACTGAAGGCTTCGAGGACTTCACCGGGGGGATAGCTGAGACGTACGAGCTGAAGCAGGCCCCCCCAAACCTCTTCCAAATCATCAAGAAGGCCCTGGAGGCTGGCTCTCTGCTGGGCTGCTCCATTGATGTAAGTGATGATCCATTGATGTACTGTACTGTCTTCTGCTTTAGTGACCTTAATCTCCCATCTCATCTTTTCTGGTTTAGCATTCCAATTCTGATCCATGTGAAGTTAAAACCAGGACCAAATAACCAACAAATGATTTTGGTATTCTACTTTAAAATCTGCCATACTTTTATGTACTTTGTCTCACATGTAGTACTGTAAACAACCCTACTTTTTTCCAGGTATAATTATCTCTCTTTGAGCTATGAAAAATGATTCAACTACACGGTAATGTAGAATCAGTGTGGCTGTTCCTATTACAATGTAGCTCTGTTGTGCTGCCGAGGCAGGTGAGTGTGTGCCTCAGGGGCCTGACAATGTTAACCTCTCTCCAGATCACCAGTGCTGCCGAGACGGAGGCCATCACCTATCAGAAACTGGTGAAGGGACACGCCTACTCCCTCACTGGTGCTGTGGAGGTAAGCAGAGGAACACCGGTCACTGCTGATGCCATGCAAAATCTGCTCAAAGTGCTTCGTGCCGCCATCAGGAAGGACCTGATGCTGAGATGTGTCCTGTGTTGCAGGTGACGTACCGGGGACGCCTGGAGAAGCTGGTCAGAATCCGTAACCCCTGGGGTCAGGTGGAGTGGACAGGAGCCTGGAGTGACAGGTACCTGACTGAGGCATCAGAGAGAGCTTTGGAGGAGGGGGAATGGGCTGCATTTTAAATTTTTACAGAGGTCTCTAGCTCATCCTCTTAAATACAGTTTGTGTGTCATCTAGATAAGTGGTTCTCAAACTGTGGTACACGTACCGGAGCGCCGCCAGCTGGTACGCCATATGACCCTGGAACTGTCTTGTGTGCGCTGAAAAATCGGGACGGGTTTTCATATTTTCTGTTTTAATACAAATCGAATACGCAACCTACGTACTATGATACAGCGCGTGCTAATACTTGAGTGGACACAGAGCTACAATGTAATTCTATACCACTCTATAGGAATGCATGCTATGAACGTAAGTGACCAATTGTATTTAAAAAAACGTATCTCCAGCAAAAAGAGAGGTAGGAGAATGTGCGTGATTTTAGAACAATGCCAATGTTGTAAGCACAGGAAAGCATAAAAATGCGTGCTAGGAATGCTGGTAATCTTGTGAGCACAGGAAAGCTTGATAGATAACAGAAAAATATTTAAGAACTGTTCTAGGTTAATTTGAGAAAAATACACCAAGCGTCTCTTGTGTTTCACTCCCATGCATGCGCATGAAATAAAAACCTTTTAACTTCTGAGACAGACTCCTGAAACGGAAATGGGGAAAAATGCAAGCTTGCAGATTGCTAAAGCAGGTAAGCCCCACACTATTTTTGAAGTGTGGAGAAAAAGCTGCTAAACAGCTCGACTTCCTGCCCCCTCTGAAAGACACAGTCACTCATAAAATTATTGAAATGGTGGATGATATCAAAAGTACCCTGGTAGAGTGCGTTAAAATGCAATTAGATGAATCTGTAGTCGATTTGGCCAATTTGATTGTTTACGTTAGATACGAGTTTGAGGGTACGTCCCATGAGGACTTTCTGTTCTGTAAATCGCTACCAACAGGAACTACAGGAGAGCACATATTTCAGCTTCTGAATGAATTTATCGAAGAGAATGGGTTGACTGGATAAAATGCATCGGAGTTTGTACAGACGGTGCTAGAGCGATGACAAGCCAACACAGCTGTGTACTTGCAGGAATTCAAAAATGAATTCACATCTGCTTTGCTCGACTAAACAGGCTCACCCCTCTCACTGAAATGGTGCTTTTTTATTGTTTATTTTTATTTGTTGTTGTTCCTATTTTTTTCTGTAAAGGGCTTTGAGAAGCCACCTTTAAAGGCGCTATATCAAATAAAGTTTATTATTATAATATGTGTTATATGTGTGTGTGAGTGTGTGCACACACGTGCGCTCATGTTGGTCTTTGAGAATTTCTGGGGTTCCTGTGAGAAGATGACTTGCAGGTGGTACTTGGATACTTTGGTTTGATCAGGGGTGGTACTTGGTCCGAAAAGTTTGAGAACCACTGATCTAGATTATCAATTCAAACTCCACTGAAAAAGGCTATGGACTAAAATTTAGGCCAAAATAATTTAGTCCAGGTGTCTGAAAAGGGATAAAAAGAAGTTATTGAGTAAAAACGTGCACTCTCCTGAAGCAAGTTTTAGCCCAAGGGAGAAGTTAGGAGGAGATTGGAAACGTGGTGGTCACCAGCTGTCCTTCTCTCTTTGCAGCTCGTCTGAGTGGAACTACGTTGATGCCTCAGAGCGGCAGAATGTGAAAGCAGATGATGGAGAGTTCTGGTGAGATAATCTTCTGGTGCTTTCGCTCAGTCACTAGGTCTGGAGGGTGTAAATCTGAGTTACATATTGTGAATGTGAAATGTCAAACATTAAATGTAAAATTAAAAGTATGTTACATATTTCTTCTCTGTCATTAGTGAAAAGTGTGCAACAAGGTTGCAGCCAGTAAGTTTTGAAAGGGATCAAACTGCTGTTTCTGCATCAGAATGAAGTGAGGCAAAGGAAACGGAGTGTTTTTATCATTGACGGTTGCGTCTGCTCTCTGCTTGGGGGCAGGATGTCGTTCACAGAATTCATGAAGCAGTACTCACGGCTGGAGATCTGCAACCTGACCCCAGACACCCTGTCCAGCGACTCGTACAAGCGCTGGAGCGTTTCCAAGTTTGACGGCGCCTGGAGGCGGGGCTCCACCGCAGGCGGCTGCAGGAACAACCCCTGTAAGGATGAGGACTCAACCACAGTGGTCCGCAGGGCTCAGGGCTGAGCGTTACCACAGCGCTGTAGCACTTCTGGGTTTCACATTCTGCAAGAGATATCAGCAGTGCGCACAGTGCCAGTATCTTGATCACTGGGACACAAGATACGAACCTCAACATGTGTGCATGCCAGACTGCTGAGCTGAAGTTTGGATCGGAGGTTTAATCTTTCACATTTAGAGGGGCTTTTTGACTATTAGGATATAATGTTTGTTTTATTCCTGCCAGCTGGAGCCATTTGCTTTTGTATTGTACAGCTAGGGAGCAGCTTTGTGCTGTTCCGTATTGTCCCATATAGTCCTATACTGAAAGCTTCAGCCATAGAGTTTCAGTCCTGGTCCCAAACTCCCTGCTGTCCTTGGGTTTTTATCTTGTAATAATCTGCTTAACAAAACTACAGCACCTAAAGTGCTGATCTGTTTAAAGTGCTTTTAACAGACCTTTCAGTACGTTTGGAGCTGATGAACACTTAAAAAGTAAATAAAATAATGTGTTTTACTATTAAAGAGGAGCCTTTAGAAGCAGGGTTGCTGCATGACTAGAGTCTTTTAAATCTAAAGTGGGTTAGACAAAGAGAGAAAATCAGCTGTTATTTCACATGTTAATCTCAAATGTAAATAGAGACACAGAGGTGGCGATAATGTCTCAGGTTTACTGTCACGATTGTAGTCCCTCCTCCTCAAAGGCGCTCCGGCTCTTTTCACTTTGGACTTATTCTGTGCACCTGCCCCTTGTTCTAGCCTCGTTCCCGTTCCCCTTAAAAGCCAGACACTCAGTCAGTTCCAGGCTCTGCATCTGATTTCTGTATCGTGCGAGCCCGGGTCCGGATGAGTTTGGCTCCATCATGGTTTTAAGTCTTTGTTCCTGTTCCCCTTGACGGTTCCGACCCGGTTCCTGATTTTATCTATATTGTTTTTGGATTCCCTGTCTGGATTATTTTTGGATTGTTTGCCTCGGCCACACACCCCCCGTGCACCAGCGCACTTTGGACACACCCCCCTGTTTTCATCCCCGTATTCCTGCATGACTTTCCCCCCGGTGTTTCCTCACTATTTCGGATTGTGTCGTCCGCATAGGGTCTGGAAAGAACTGTTCCGTTACATTTACGCCTGCTCTTCCCCCAGACACCTTCTGGATGAACCCGCAGTTTGTGATCAAGCTGGAGGAGGAGGATGACGATCCTGAAGACAACGAGGTGGGCTGCAGCTTCGTGGTGGGTCTGATTCAGAAGAACCGCCGGCGGCTGAGGAAGGCGGGCGAGGACATGCACACCATCGGCTTCGCCATCTACGAGGTGAACAGACCTGGAGTCAAGCGATCCCATAAGGCATTGCCAGTAACCTGTGTGAAGAATCTGGAGTTTTGTCTGCTTGTGTGTGGATTGTAGGAAAGCCCAAGGATTGCCTCTGTCTCTGACGCTCTGAGATGTTAAAAATATTTTCATGTTTCGTACTCTTTATTGTTAACTGATCAGACTCTTCACCTGAGCCTGTGCTCACTGAAGACATGGCAGCGAGTGACCTCTGGGTCTTTGTCTCTTTCAGGTCCCTCCACAGGTGAGCCCTTGTCTGAGAAGGAACTCCAGCACAGGGACTGTCATTGAGTTCCACACCACCAGAGAATCAGACTCATTGTCTTTATCCCGGTTCAAATCTTTTACACATTCGTTTTCAAAATCTTCTCCACCTGTTATCTGTCACAGGTCAATTAGTATCCATTCCCATTCCCTGAAATCCAATATGAGAGGGTCTTACTTCTGCACAGGTGCCCCAGAGAAAAACGCTGTTGCTCAATGGAAGGAAAAGAGCTACATCGTATGATAGAGCTACACACATTTCTTTTTAAAACTTAGATCACTGAATCAGACCAGTTTTCAACAGAGCTACAGCTTCTCTGTCCTGTAATTTGTCAAGTGAGAAATGTAGACATGGAGGTTGATACTGGATTTGAACAGAAGTCACTGGGTGTTTCTGCAGCTTGAGCAGCATGAAGCCATCTGTGACACCAAAGAAGAAAGCAATGGCAAATTTACCAAATTATTTCTTAGCCATTTCATGTGCTTCCTTTTAAATGCAGTCCTAAAATATTAAATTGCTCAAATTCAAGGTAGGTATTTAAAGGCGTTTATATGGGAATTGGCTGGGGGATCTACTGGAAAATTCTAATACTAAACCACCTTCCTATTTCCTGTGTGAGAGATCAGAGGAGTACAGGGACAGTGCTGTACCTGAGGAGTGTCCTGAGTTTGTTACCTGCGTGAGAGATCAGAGGAGTACAGGACGGTGCCGTACCTGAGCAGTGTCCTGTGTTTGTAACCTGTGTGAGAGATCAGAGGAGTACAGGGACAGTGCTGTACCTGAGCAGTGTCCTGTGTTACCCGTGTGAGAGTTCAGAGGAGTACAGGGACAGTGCTTTACCTGAGGAGTATCCTGTGTTACCTGCGTGAGAGATCAGAGGAGTACAGGACGGTGCCGTACCTGAGGAGTGTCCTGAGTTTGTTACCTGTGTGAGAGATCAGAGGAGTACAGGGACAGTGCTGTACCTGAGCAGTGTCCTGTGTTACCCGTGTGAGAGTTCAGAGGAGTACAGGGACAGTGCTTTACCCAAGGAGTATCCTGTGTTACCTGTGTGAGAGATCGGAAGAGTACAGGGACAGTGCTGTACCTGCAGGATGTGGTTTGTGTGCCACCGAGCTCCTGCTGCACTCCCTTGTCAGACTCCCTTGTCCTGCGCCCTCAGTTCCGTGGTCAGACAGAGGTGCACCTGGACAAGAACTACTTCCTGACACACGCACAGACCGCTCGCTCTGAGACCTTCGTCAACCTGAGGGAGGTCTCCAATCACTTCAAGCTGCCCCCGGGGGAGTACCTCATCGTTCCTTCCACCTTCGAGCCGCACAAGGACGGCGACTTCTGCCTGCGAGTCTTCTCAGAGAAGCAAGCCGAAACACAGTAAGGGTTTACGGAGGAGGAGGAGGAGGAAGAGGATGTCAGGTTTTTTTTTAAATGTTCTTCCAAAAAACACAGATATACAAGACAACCTGCCCCCTCATGGCTGTGAACAACATGACTTGAGAAGGAGCTGACTTGTCAATACCTTTCTGAAACTAAGAATGCATGTTTTGCATATTTAGTACTTTTAATAGTCTTAATTTCTTTAAACACAGACTCTGTGTCTAAACAGATAGCAGATGAAGACTCAGTAAATGGCCTCTCTTTTCTGAATGGGTTTGCAGTGCTGCTCCTGTCAGTACAAGATCTGGCGAATGTGTACAGGGTGGATGGGAGGCAGAGGGAGGGAAACAGAAGGTGAAGTTTGTTTCAGAAAGAGAGTCCATTGACACCCCAGAGGGTGGTGCTGCAAGACTAGCTAATTATATAGTTTAATCTAATAGCCAACAAGAAATACTGCTCTCCCTCAGCACAGACAGCACTTTCAGATTAGCTGTCAATTTTCCAGACACTAAAAAGCTTTGGAGAGGGGAAACTGTCCATGCATGTGGGGAGTAGTAATCAAAACATGAAGAAGAGGAAATTTGTAAGGATTGGAAGACTCAGGAGTCGCAGGCAGCATTTATGTGTTTTAACGTTACAATAAACATTAACAGCCTAGAACCTCCAGAATCTGGAGTGGATGTATGAGAACTGTGCCCATTGCTAATGAACTAAAAGATTTAACTAGATTATATGTTAGTATAATAGTATCTATCCTATTCATAAAAGCTTCTGTTCCTGGGGGAATCTTTGAGGACTCAAATTCTGCTTCAGCTGGGATTTAGGAAATGAGAACACTTGAATTGGCTGTCAATGACAATGAGTGTTGGTTTGTCACCTACAGTATTGTAGGCAGTTGCTTAAGTAAAATAGTCTTTGTTGAACATGACATCAAAATTAATCATAACATAACATTAAAAGTTACTCTTGAAATTATTTTCCAGGGAAAATTTGTCATCTAATCTTTGTTTTCTAAAATTCTGTTTTCTGAAAAATGTCAGAACTTTCATGTTGGTTTAGATATTTTGTATAATTGCAAGGGAAAATAAAATATTACATGATTATAGATAGAAGAACTGATAGTAAACACGAAGACTGATACAGATTTTTCTCTTCAATACTTCAGAGTCATAATGTCTCTTTCAGAGTACTGTAATATCCTAGTGTAATGCAATTATTGCAAACTGGACGGTATTTGAAGATTATTTAATCACTTATTCGTGTTTTAACTTTATTCCAGACTTCGTGAAGATCCTGTTGATGCGAACTTGGTTGATGTAAGATGTCATTTTGAATTAATTTTACTCCACATGATTATTTCAACTTGCACTAAAATTCAGTTTATTGTACAATGAATTTGCACATTCCACACCAGTATTGTATTTACAGTAATTTTTTTTTGTTCATGAACAGGAGAAGGTTTCTGAGGGTGAAATTGACGCAGGCTTCAAGAACCTGTTTGTCAGGCTTGCTGGATCGGTGAGTGTCAGCCAAACGGGAGGTTTATACTGTACCTGTAAAGTCTCAGTCCAGAAGAAAGATTGAAACAGGACACCTGTTAGTACTGACCAGTTTATTCTACTCTTCAATAGCTTTGAAATGCAGCAACTTTGAGGCAGGATATCAGGAAGGAATCGCCCTGAAAGTAAGAGCAGGACAGGGCTGAAAAGCAGAGTCCAGCGCATCGTCACTTGTTAATACAGCTGTTTGCACAGAAAGCCTTTAAGTGGTTGTTTAACTTACATCCTGATGAGTCTGAAGATGACAGCTTGCACACAGTGCAGGTTAGGTTTCCTCTTGATGAACTTCCAAAGCAAGAAGTGATCAGAATGTGTGAGGCTGAAGTGTGTCCAGCACAAGTGCTCAGACAACTGGCTTGATATGTGAAGGATTGCCCTGTCTGCAGGCAGACCCCTCTCTTTGCGGATATAAGGCTCAGTGTAATCTTCAACGTTGGAGGTTCCCAGTGCAGCTGAAATGTTGTTGCTGACACCCCTAATCCTGGCCTGTCTTGGCATTACTCACTTGGCTGTCCTCCCCTCCTGGGGGAGAAGCTGATGCAGGTCAGGTCTTTATTGCACAGTTCTACTGCTGCAGCCTGGTTCTGGATTGGGGACCCACTGGGTGGAAAGGGGATGGAGATTACCATTTTCCTTGTACGCATTGCTTCACTTTATTCTGGTTTTGAAAATGTTATTTAAAACCAGTTCATAAAAATATTATATTTTTCAAAGGATCTGGATTTGCTTTGGAAAGCAAAGCAAAAGCACATTCACAGCATTTTGCTGATTACAATACTTCAGAATAAGTCTTTAAATATAGAACAAACAGCAAAACTGATACACACAGAATTGTGAAAAATTGTTAATTTAGGGAAAGACAAGTACAGTACAAAGAATTTGTGATTTGGGAACCATGTCCTCAGAGGTTTTGGTTCTGATTAGCTCTGTAGTCTCATGTTTCTTAATACCATATGTTTTTATTCACAGGACAATGAGATTTCTGCAACAGAACTGAGGACTATTTTTAATAATATTGTCTCCAAACGTAAGTCCTCTTTTCTCCCTTTTAAAGATTGAAGTTACATTCAAATTTTCAGTGAAAGTGTTACAATTTTGTCATCCATGCTATTCAGAACTAACTAAACCATCTGTGTTAAAGAGAAGGCAACTTTTGACTGTTGTAAACTTTTGCTCTATGCTGTTAATGTTTTACAGGCTCTGATATAAAAACCGATGGCTTTAGCTTGGAAACGTGCAGAGTCATGGTCAATCTAATGGATGTATCCTATCTCATTGAGTTTTTATTACATCAAGCATGTTACCAAAGTGAGACATATTTTTTAGTAGTTTCCTATAAAACAAGAAAGGCATTTTATGGATATGGCCAGCAGCCATATCACTCTGTAACTCACAACTGGCAACGTACTGAAGCTAAGCAGGTGTGAGCCTGGTCAGTACCTGGATGGGAGACCTCCTGGGAAAAACTAAGGTTGCTGCTGGAAGACTAGGCGAGTAATGACTGGCTACAGACATCTGCTTGGTCTGCGCCTTGGCTGCGCAGTCGAGCAGGTGATAGAGGTTGGGGTGCCCAGATGGTAGAACTGTAATATTTGTCTTCTCTAGAACTGATTAATGTAAGACCCTACTCGCTGGGGTACCTAAATCCATTCTGAACAAAGTTCAGTATGTCCTGACCAGCAGCCATATCACTCTGCAACTCACAACCCACTGAAGCTAAGTAGGTGTGAGCCTGGTCAGTATCTGGATGGGAAACCTCCTTGGAAAAACTAAGGTTGCTGCTGGAAGAGGAGTTAGTGGGGCCAGCAAGGGGTGCTCACCCTGCAGTCCATGTGGCTCTTAATACCTCAGTATAGTGACGGGGACTTCGGATGAGACGTAAAACCAAGGTCCTGACTCTCTGTGGTCATTAAAAATCCCAGGGCTTTTCTCGAAAAGAGTAGGGGTATAACAACAGCGTCCTGACCAAATTTCCCATTGGCCCTGACCAATCATGGACTCCCCACCTAATAATCCCCACCTATGAATTGGCTTCATTACTCGGCTCTTCTCCCCACTGAGAGCTGATGTGTGGTGAGCGTTCTGGCGCACTGTGGCTGCCGTCGCATCATCCAGGTGGGGCTGCACATTGGTGGTGGTGGAGGGGAGTCCCCATTACCTGTAAAGTGCTTTGAGTGGAATGTCCAAAAAAAGCGCTATATAAGTGTAAGCAATTATTATAATTCTTATTATTTTATTGTACCATTACCATGAAATGGTAAATTTTAAAGATGTAGCTATTTAGCAGTAAAGTGTCATGAGCTTAAGTCTTGAGAGTTTTGTGCTGGGAGGCTTGGGGCACTGCTGGCGCAGCTCGCTGTCCCAGGACAGCAGGTGGACCTTAACCCCCAGGCAGGACAGTGGCAATGGCAAGCTGGGAATGGCAGAGTTCGCCAGCCTGTGGAAGAAGATCCAGAGGTACCTGGTAAGAGCTTTTTTGGGAATTCAGATCTTCGCACATACAGTATAATATTTCCAGACATCCCTTTTACAAATACTTTCTTATGATGTCTTCCAGAGCATCTACAAGAAGAACGATCTGGACGGGTCTGGCACCATGAGCACTCCGGAGATGCGCATGGCCCTGAAAGAAGCAGGTATCTGACATTAGAGGGAAGAGTAGACTGATGAAGGGGAGGTGCTGTGTTTCCCTAAACATGTATATAAAGGATTAATTGGCTTTGCTATGCCTTTTTTAATAGTTGGATTTCTACTACAGGTGCTTATAACAGCCAGTGCAATAGCTGGTGTAGCACATGCACTGTAGCCAACTATATAGCATCCACTCCTGTGAGTTTTGGAAGACTTGAGAAGTCATGAACACAGTGTGTTGGTGGAGCAACTCCCAGTGTGAAATTTAAAAGACTGAGAGTGTCTGCATAGCTAGGAGGGACTTTGTACTGTGAATGTAGTGCCCACTGGGCCAGGAAGTAGCACCACACGAGATAAGGCTGTCCAGGAACTCCAAAAGAAAGATCATAGCTATTGGGTAGATTTTATGCTTATATTGCAGAATCAAATGACCAGACCAAGTTGAGCTTCTGAACATAAAATCTGTTATGTTCAAACTGCAACTGCTGGCGAGCAGGGACTACTGTAGGATTTACTGTATGTCTGATCTAAACTAAAATCTTCTGCATGCCTGGTCTCCTTACACAGTAACCATGCTTTCCTGGAGCAGAGGAAATTAAGAGCGTTATTTACTGCACCATTTCATTTAGCATAGAGCATGAAGATCTTGTATCATAATGACTAACTACAAATAATGACAAACAGATGTGGCAAATAGCCTTCTCTCCTTTGTCACTGAAGAGAGGATGCTGCTGACCGTGTGCTCTTTTCCTTTGACCAACAGGTTTCACCTTAACCAATAACATCCACCAAGTCCTTGTGGCCCGCTATGCTGAACCCGACATGACTATTGACTTTGACAACTTCGTGGCCTGCCTGATTCGTCTGGAGACGATGTTCCGTGAGTTCCCTTTTTCCCCTTGAGACTCCGGCGTGCCAGTGACTGGGAGTGATTTTCTCAAAAAGAAACAGAGCTGAGCGACACTAAAGGTGCTTCCTGAGGGGCTCGGTCTGCAATGTGATCTCTCTAGCACAAGCTGAGCTCTGTGATCACGGGTTTGAACCCGGGTCACATCAGTAGCAGACAGTTACAGGGATTTCCCAAGCGGTAGCACACTGTGGTGGGACACTGCCGAGTGCACGATGAGATTGCTCGGCCAGGGTTTTCTTGGCTCTTGTGCAGCGACGCCTTGACCCTGCATCCTCTTGGTGCCGTCGATGAGGCTGGGCTTCTCCAGTCCACCCGCAGGGCGGTGCTTCTCTCTCCGTGTTCTCCCCTGTGTGCCCTTGTGCATCTCCTGGCTGATGAGGCCAAATTGGAACTTTTTGGTCTGAATTCTTTGCATAGCGTACTGTATAACGCAGATGCAACCCAGCACATCTGTCAGTCAGCACCACCCCTACAGTGGAGCATGCTGGCGGCAGAATCACACTGGGGGGAAGGTTCACCTCAGGGACTGGGAGGCTTGTTAGGACTCTTGGAAAATGGACAGAGCAAAGAACAGACAAACAGAACAGGAATACCTCTGTCTATCTGCTAAAGACCTAAAACTGGGGAGAGAATTAACCTTTCATTAGGACAGTGATCCAAAGCACAAGGCCAGAGTTACTTAGGAGTGGCTTAAGAATAAGAAAGTGAATGTCCTTGACTGGCCCAGACCTTCCTTTGGGAATCTGTGGTAAGACTTAAAAACTTTTGGCCGTAAGTGATCCCCAAGCAACGTGAGAGCTCAATCACTGAAGATGGAATCATATCTGCATTAAAGAGTGGGCAGAGTTCCTAGAGACTGACCCAAGAAGACTAATTGCTGCCGAAGGTGCTTCCATCAAATATATATTTCATAGGTCTGAATACTTAGGCAATCAACATATTTTAGTTTTTGCTGACATGTATTGTAATTCATCTTGCTCTAAAAGTCTTGTGTTTGAGCATTCAAGTTCTGAATCAAATATTTATTAGAAATGTGTATGTGTAATTCTATAAATGTAACAAAATGGAACACCACAGGAGGGGTCTGAGTAATTTTGCTAAGCATTGTACTGTACTCAGAGTTTTTCATCACTGTGTAAATCTTAAAAAGCTTAAATATCAGGTCTTTTTCTTTCATTAGGAGTCTTTAAGAATGCTGACACAGAGGGAACTGGGGAAATAGAGCTCAACTTTTACCAGGTGAGACATCCTTCCTGAAGTGGAACATAGTGAACGAAAGATATTGGCTCTTCAGAAAGTAAAACATGTTCAGGCTGCAATAAGCTGTTATACTGTCAGCAGGGCTGCTGCTTTGGAGTTTCCATAGGGGAGGGTAAGACATCTACACCCCTGGCTGCAGACTCCCTTCCCCTTTCTTGAAGAAAACATTCAATGGGCACTTCACCAGAAAGAGAATAGTGCACATAATAACACTGTGAATCTTTTAAAAAATCTTTCCAGGAAAAGTGGATTAATCGTGGTATTTTTTCAAGTTTCAGTTAAAGGAGTGTTCGTAAAAGTGTTCATAAAAGTAATTCCCTATATTTTTAGTCTTACCAAGCTAAGCACACGTCCACTGAACAGAACTGAACCAGATCTAGAGTTCTGGGAGTGTTTAGTGTTCAGGAGCTTTTCCTCAGTGTCTGCACTGGCACTGGCAGCCATGTCACCTTGCAACTCATGACTGGCAGCCCAATGAAGCAGGTGTGAGCCTGGTCAGTACCTGGATGGGAGACCTCCTGGGAAAGCTAAGGTTGCTGCTGGAAGAGGTGTTAGAGGGACCTGTAGGGAGCGCTCACGCTGCGGTCTGTGTGGGTCCTAATGCCCCAGTATAGTGACGGGGACACTATACTGTAAAACAGATGCAATCCTTCAGATGATATGTAAAACCGAGTTTTGGTGGTGCTGGAGGGGTGCACCCATTACCTGTAAAGCGCCCTGAGTGGAGTGTCCAGAAAAGCGCTATATAATTGTGAGGAATTATTATTATTATTATTATTACCAGTTAGGTGACACGGCAGGCAGCTTCTGTATCCCAGGGAAAGGTGAGAGAGTGCAGCCTGTGGCCCATGGCTCACCAGTGGCCCTGGAGAGGTCTCATGTGTGCTGCATGTTTCAGATGTTTCCAGATGTTTAAAATGTGCTTTGTGCAGCTCTTTCCAGCCTTGATCAAAAAATTAAATTGTTACGTTCATCAAATGTGTTCATCTCACATTTAAATTAGAC